CTTTCTCTTGATCTTCAGTGGGTATGTGTCTTCTGGCAAGCTCTCTCCCAGCTTCTGCTATCTTGCTGATGCTTGCTGCTGGCACAAGTGGCTTTGCACCTTGGGACTAGGTCTGAGAAGAGAGGAGTTATTCATTCCCCTAAGCTTTCAGGCCTGGGGGGAGAATCTTTCAAAAAGTAGTCTAAACCAAGCTACCAGCAGCCTATTTTATTGCCTTTTATTAAAATTAAAGTCATTGTATGTCCTGTGGAAAACAAATCTTATACTTTGAAGTGAAGAGTTATTTTATTTTGCATTAGTCAATGATAAATTATAATAATTTGTGTGTGTGGTGTATGTATATATATATATATATGTGTGTGTGTGTGTGTGTGTATGTGTGTTTGTACATTTGATAAGTACTAAACATAAAAAGTAAAATTTTACTGAAAATGTATCCATTTTTCTCTTAATGACAGGTAGTTCCATGATTGAATATGCTTTTTTGTTAAAATAAGTCTTCAGAATAAAATTTGTCTGCAAGTTCTAGGTCTTTGAGAAATCGTCATGCCATCTTCCACAATGGTTGAACTAATTCACACTCCCACCAATACTGTAAAAGTGCTTCTGTTTCTCCATAGCTTCACCTACATCTGTTGTTTCTTGACTTTTTGATAATCACCATTCTGACTGGTGAGAGATGGCATCTCTGTAGTTTTGATTTACATTTCTCCAATGATCAGTGATATTGAGGGTTTTTTTTTTTTTATGTTTGTTGGCTACATAAATGTCTGCTTTTAAGAAGTGGCTTTTAAATTTTTTTTTCTTTTCTTTTGTGAACTTGTTTAAGTTCCTTGTAGTTTCTGGATATTAGACTTTTGTCAAATGGATAGATTGTGGAAAATTCCTCCCATTATGTAGGTTGTCTCTTCACTTTTCTTCAAAAGAAATAGCTTCTTTTGTTGTGCAGAAGCACAGATTGAGAGTCTGTGATGATATTTAATTTTATGTGTTAATGTTGCTGAGCCATGGTGAACAGATGTGTGATCAGGCATTATTCTGGATATTTCCATGAGGGTGTGTTTGGATGACATGGGCATTTAAATTGATGGGCTTTGAATAAAGAAGATTGCTCTCCATAATGTGGGTGAACCTTGTCTAATTGTTTGATAGCCTGAAGAGAACAAAATGACTGACCTCCTCTAAGCAAAAAGAAGCCTCTCAGTAGAAAGGCTTCAGACTTGAGCTGTAACACTGGTTGTTTCCCAGACCTCCAGCTTGGTGACCTCTGGACTTAAACTGCAAATTTTGGATTTGCCAGCGTCTGTAATCATGTGAATCAATTCCTTAAATCAATCTGTCTGTCTCTCATATATGTATATATATGTATATACATACACATATATATATATACGTATATATATGTATATACATACACATATATATATACGTATATATGTATATATATGAGAGAGATTGATTTAAGGAATATATACATATATATATATGAGAGAAAGACAGATTGATTTAAGGAATTGATATATATATGTGTGTGTGTGTGTGTGTGTGTGT